TCCCACAGCATTGTGAGCCTAGCCTTAAGGTCACAGTGACAATGGTTTTACCAGACCAGTGAGAGAAAAGCTTTGAAAGGGACATAAAAAGCAATACAAAATAGCAATACAAAATGAGACAGGGGTTCAACTCTCCCCTCTATTCAACTAAAAATAAAGCATTGTCCCTCTGAATTTGACAAAGACATACTTGAAAAGGTGAGGAGTGGTCATGGGTGTGGTTCAAAGGGTGATGATCTGATGCAGGTATTCTGCATTTCCATGGGTATTAAATATCTTCTCTTCCTGCCAGGGGTGGACTGACAACTCATGGGGCCCCTGGGCAATAGGGGATCATGGGGCCCCTGTGTCCTTGCCCAAACTCAAAAAAGCCTATGAAAAAGGTACCAGGGGCATCTCATGGGGCCCCCTACTGACCCCGGGCCCTTGGGCAGTGCCCGAGTTTCCAAATGGTCAGTCCGCCCCTGCATCCTGCCACATGCATTGGTTCCTCTCATTGACTTATATGTCACTACTAGAGAAAGGGGCCATTGGGAGAATCCACAGCATGTGGTGGTAGATAATAAGCACACACAGAAGGGAAGAATACCTGCAACACAGGGGCAGACTGACAACTCATGGGGCCCCCGGGCAATAGGGGATCATGGGGCCCCTGTGTCCTTGCCCAAACTCAAAGCACACCCAAAAAAGCCTATAAAAGGTACCAGGGGCATTTCATGGGGGGCAATAGGGGATCATGGGGCCCCTGTGTCCTTGCCCACACTCAAAGCACACCCAAAAAAGCCTATAAAAGGTACCAGGGGCATTTCATGGGGCCCCCTACTGACCCCAGGCCCTCGCGCAGTGCTCGAATGGTCAGTCCGCCCCTGCTGCAACATCCAAAGGTAAGTATAGAGTCTCCTCCTTTACAACAAGGGCTTTCTTTATAAGTATTTAGCATTTATGACCTAGTTCATACTGATGCGGTGTGGGATTTCTAGCTAATTCTGTGCGTTTCCCACACCGCATCAGAATTGAACTCCATTCATGTGAATCGCTGCGGGTGTCAATGTTGAGCTAACACCCCCCCCCCCCCAAAACGGTTTGCAAAATACAGTCTGACTGGGTGTCGGATCGCATGGGTGTTCACACCCAGATTCCTGTGCAGAAAAAAAAGGGTCCTGCACCTTTATTGCGAGTGCGTTGTGCGATTTGAGTCATAGAAAATGAATGGCTCAAATCGCACTGCAAAAGAATTGGATGTGATTTGCACAGGAATGCGTTGCAATTCCTGTCTAAATCACGTGCAGTTTCCCGCACCGCATCAGTGCAAACTGGTCCTAAGCCCCGGTTCACACCAAATGCGACATTGAAATCGTGCTACTTCACTTGAAGTAGTGTGATTTCAGACATGGAATCCGGTGCAAATTCATATGTGGCTTGCCTGGCATCTGTGCGACTCCATGCCCAGATGTCAATGCAAGTCTCATCAAATTGCTGAAAATAGGGTAGAAACTATTTTGAAAATCGGTGCGACACCGACGGAGTCAGAGTCTCACTGATTTGAATGGTTCCATCGCCAACATAAGGGTGCGACTTGTCATGCGATTTGAAAACTGTGAAAACGCATGACAAGTTGCATCGGTGTCAAGTGCCGCTTGGGCCAATCTAAGTATACAGATGTCATATCTGTATGAGGTGGAATCCCCATGGAAGCTAGAAATCACTGTAGTGGGCACTGCTACTACAGTGACTGCCGCTAGCGTCCGGGTCCCTTGCCAAGTGGCTTCCCTGCTGCTTGGTGAACACAGGAGGTTGCCTGCTCGGGACAGGTGCCAATGAGAGAACAAAGTGCATTTTCTCAATTAACGCGAAATGTTCTCTGATTGGAAGAGGTGGGAGGTTACATTACAATCTCCACATCATCCAATCAGAAAACTCTTTGCATTCTTTGAGAAAATGCAGAGTACTTTCTGAATGGCGCCAGTGTTGAATGCGTGTCCTGCTGTGTTCAAAATGCAGCAGGGCAGCCACTTGGCAAAAGACCCGAAATCAAGCGGCAATCACTGTAGCAGCAGTAAAGAACAAAGTGAATAAAGATTAACTCCGGAGCTACCAAATCCAATCAAAACAGAACTAAAAACAAATTGTAAAGGTAACTGCTAATACCTACTGTGTCCCCAAAATACTACATAAAACTAAAAAAAGTGAATAGAGCTGTGCTACCACCGTATTAATGTTTTACTATGTGATATGTTAAAACTACATACGTGTACAGTATATACCAATAGTATATTGCCACAATACAATATTACTGTGATAAATAACGTCCTTATCAATCGTGTGCAGTCTGTGTGTTTCAAAGCTTCGTAATAAAAGTGTGCCAAAGGTTGAATCGTATCCAGTGAATGCAGATAATTCTTAAGCCTTCCACTGCAAATTGCCCAGGTGAGATTCAGTGCTGTGATAAATACATTTCCTCGTATGACACCTTTGCACTCACAATGCTCTTACTTTAATAATATGACTCACATTAACTCTTTTGCTACCAGCTGAAGCCACCGGGATTGCGTGTAAATCTGACATGCAGTCTGGTACCTCCGGTGGTGCTAGATTGCTTTCACACCCCATGGTAACAAGCATCCCCCGCCACACACACTCACACACCACTGCCATGTATCCTGGGCTCCACTTGCCCATCTGTGGGTCTGGAAAAGGCATAGCAGGTGCCCCAGGGTATAGGGGGTAGGGATTTATTTAAAACACTAAATGTTTTTTTTTGGATGATGATGATATACACCTTTGTATAAGTTTGTTATTAGCGCATACATTTTAATTAGGATTATTGTTGCCAAAATTTATTTTGGGTGGGATATGCTGCTGACACTTTGGTGTTTTTTGTAAGTGGCGCTTTTTTCTTTTTTAATTTGGTATAGGGGGTAGGGAGCTGAGCGAACACATGTTCCCTCTCCTCCCTGGAAGCGACGTGTTTGATGTCATTCCAGGTCCCTTTGTCAGTTATTGGCTGGGGAACAATGTCATGCAATCATTATTTCCTTACATTCAGTGGATGGCCCTGGATGTCTCATTAAAGAGAACCTATCACCAAAAAAAAAGAATAAATCATCACTTTTTGTCCCCTATGGGATGAAAAAAGATGTTAAGTGAAAAAAAATGTTTTTGTAAATTGAAAAAAAATTAAAGTCACACCAAAACACATAAAATCCCCCAAAAAATATTTTTTAGGCCCCCCATTCATACATACGAATGTAAACACCAGGGATGGACTGACCATTTGGGAACTCGGGCACTGCCCCATGAGATGCCCCTGATACCTTTCATATGCAGCACAGTGGCTAAATGGTTAGCACTTCCACCTGGCAGTACTAGGGTTGTTGGTTTGAATCCCAGCCACAACACCACTTGCCTGGAGTTTGCATGTTCTCCCTGTGACTGCGTCCGGGGGTTTTCCTCCGGGTACTCCGGTTTCCTCCGACACTCCAAAGACATGCTGATAGGTTAATTGGCTCCTGTCTAAATTGTCCCTAGTATGTGTATGTATGAATGTGAGTTAGGGACCTTAGATTGTACGCCCCTTGAGGGTTAGGGACTGATGTGAATATACAATATATATGGAAAGCGCTGAGTAAATTGACAGCGCTATATAAGTACCTGAAATAAATAATAATATGCTTTTTTGGGTGTGGTTTTAGTGTAGGCGAGGACACAGGAGCCCCATGATCCCCTATTGCCCGGGGCCCCATGAGTTGTCAGTCCACCCCTGGTAAAGACACACATTGGGGGCGCCTACACACGATACCTATTGTTGCGCATGCCAGAGTGAGAGCAGTATTTCTAGCAGCAGACCTCATGCATAATGCTAAACTGATAACCTACAGGGGCTTTTAAAGCATCGCCTAAAGAAAATATAATGTACTGAAGTTTGTTGCCGTTTCACAGGTGCATGCAAATTTAGAGTTTGACATGTTGGGTATCTATTCACTCGGTGCAACCTCACCTTTTACCAAAAAATTAGGTAATGTACTTGTTTGTGTGCACAAAAATTAACTTACAGTGGAGTTCCACCTGAAAAAAAATAAATAAAAGACACCAGCTACAACAGCTGACTTTTAAAATACAGCCACTTACCTGTCTCTCGGTCCAGCAGTGTCCTCACCACGGCTGGTTTCACCAGCTGTCTTCTCTCCCCGGCGCCGGCATTTTCAGTGTGGATAGCTGGCTGTGACAGCTTGCGGCTTCACAGCCAGTGCCCACTGCGCATGCGCATGCGCAAGAAGCGATGCGCTTTGCGAATGGCCTCGTAGTCTTCTGGGACTTGTCACATGTCCTAGAAGACTATGGGGAGGGAGGACAACTTCCGCTTCCAATCAGAAGTGGGAGCGGGTACCTGTCAGATTCGGGTACCCACTCCCCAAAGGTGCCAATCTTTAATGTGGAGCGGGGGACAAAGACTTAAAGCGGAACGTCCCCTTTTGGGTAGAGCTCCGCTTTACGTGTATTGTTTACTGAAATTTTGCATTTCCTATACCTTTTGTGGTAATATTTTGTAACATAAAAAAATGGAACTACCACTATTTTAATTCTCTGTCTAGGGTGTCTGCTTTCAGAAAATATATCATATTTTGGGGAGTTTATGTAATCTTCAGGCCTACCTGGAAATGCAAAATGACGTATATATCCGTGATTCTGCGCACAGGTGCCGCCCTGTAGCAGTATAATCTGCTATAGGGCGGTCCTTAAGTGGTTAAAATAAGGGTCATTTATTATTAAAACTGCACAATAGATTAAAAACTGCTTGCAGATCTTCAAACAGAAAATAAATTCTGCTGTTCCTTCAAATTACATCACTTCCGGTCCACGTCACCTAGGCTCCGCCCTGTGTGTTACGAGCCTGGGTGACACGGACCGGATGTGACGTAATAACAGTGGTATTTCTTTTGTGTTTTAAGATATGCAAGCAGTTTTTAGCAGTAATCATATACACCAATACATGATGTATACAGGGGCGGACTGACCATTTGGAAACTCGGGCACTGCCCGAGGGCCCGGGGTCAGTAGGGGGCCCCATGAGATGCCCCTGGTACCTTTTTCATAGGCTTTTTTGAGTTTGGGCAAGGACACAGGGGCTCCATGATCCCCTATTGCCCGGGGGCCCCATGAGTTGTCAGTCCGCCCCTGGATGTATATTTTACCATATACATAGTAAATCATATAAATACTGTAGTAGCGGTGCCTACTACAGTGCATTCTATAGCTGCCATAAGGACATGCCAGGCATGATACATCCATATTTGCGTTGGTCCAAGCTGGATGAATGTAATTATACAAAAATACGCATACCTGGAATTCAGCTCAAAGTAGAACTAAAGGCAAAACTTTAATTTTCATTTTGGATAGACTGGAGAGGGATTAGAAAGCCTCTTAGGTTTTTATTGCTGTCTGTGCCCCCCATTAGGGAGATTCACCCTCTCTATTTGTCATGTTTACCGATATCGCCAAGAAAGTGAAAGAAAATCACAAATGTTCGGTTGTCGCTAGAACAAGAATAGGGGGGAAATCTTCCAATGGGGACACTAGTTCTGGTGAACCTGGTGACAACCAGGGATTCCCTCACTTTGGAGAGATTTCCTTTCACTTCCTGTTTTGGCTGGGGGACAGGAAGTAACTGGAAATCTCCTCAATGGGTCTGTTGATCCAAAAAACAAAAAAAAGACACTAAGGAACAGTATCCATGCTGCTGGAGTCTGTCAGCTCTGTGTCCCCTTCCCCTCCTTCAAGTGTAGGCCCCTCTGTGCTGTTGTGACTCAATACCTGGAGCTACTTGATCATTCCTGTCCCATGGCCTAGCAGTGCATTCTGTGACTCCTCGGAGGTGAGGCCAGCAGGTTATGCTTCCTGTTCCTGTTCCTGTTCTGACAAGACATAAAGCAGAACTAAACCCTCCTATCCTTTTCAGCCAAGGAAGCTGCCATCTTAGCCTGTCTGATCTGCAGTTGCCATGGTGCTGACCATGTGACCAGCTATGACACCAGCCATTGAATGCTTTGACAGCTTGGTTGATAGCACAAACAGATGTGACAGCTAGCATGCCCAGGGTGCCTGGAATGTAAATGTTTTTTTAAATCATTAAATTGATGGGTTTAGTTCCACTTTAAGGCGGCTCTGAATGTGCCAAACGTTCTGTTGATCAAAAAATGAAAATAGCTCATACCAATGTGCCATCATTTGTTTACTTTTTCTAAAAAAAAAACCCCAGCATGTTGGATCAGGCACTTTCGATTGCATCACGAAAATTGTGCATCGCAACTGGCACACTAATGGTGCAAAAAACGAACCATTCAACGATCGTCCCAAATTCTGTTCAGTTTCAGCTCATCTATGGCCAGCCTTAAAGTGAAACTGAAATCGTCACTTCAGCTGTTTTCAAAAAGAGTTACATTCAAGGCATGCCATGAATGATAACTGTACCCATGGCTGGATCTAGGGAGGTGCTGGGGTGGGTTGTGCCCCCCCCCCCAAAGCCATCAGCTCCCTCCTAAGCCTGCATCCCATAAGGTCTGCGTGGGGGCTGGCAAGGAGGCTGTACATACAGGTTACAACTAATGCAGGCCATACATGGGTCAAATTCCAAATGCTTTTTCATCCGAAAATGTTGTTCACTCGGTAATCTGATGGTGCCATCAATGATTTCGAAAATCTGCCGACCGAGTCATAAAGTTCATCCCATATAACAGGCAACACTTCTGTTCCTTCCAGGTCACGGCTCACGCTCATATTCTTTTTGGAAAAACGATCGTACGATTTGATCATCATTGAGTCGAAAATCGGTCGTTTTCCACAAATTTTCCAACATGCCCAATCACCGAAAAGGGGAGGAACCACAAAAATCATCCGGTGCAACTGACCCACTAATAAAGAGAAAATCGGCTGATTATTCTTAGGTCTGATTTTCAGACGAAAAATCGGTTAAATTTCAACCCATGTATGACCGGCATTAGTGATCATCCTGTATACATGTTATCCCAGCTGGCCTGCATAGTAAGCTAATTGACAGAGCTGGAACTCGGGAGATCCCGGGCGATCTTAAGAGGGAGGGGCTTAAAAGTTTTTTTAGCTACCCATTGGTTGAAGAGTTAGCTGGAGGCGGGCTGCTCCACCTCCCACTGCCTCCTCAGCCAATGGATACACAGGAGGTGCTGTCCATCAATGCGAAGCCTCAGGATTCCTGTGTTGGTGCTGGATGGAATGGCTCTGCAAACAAGCTGCTGCAGAGAGTGTTTCCCCCAGTGATAATGAATTGGAATCTGCTATAAGAGCCTGTACAGTGCATAGCCTGTGCCCCCCACCCCCATTGTAATAACAGGCACTGTAATGCCAACCTTATTGCTGTCCTTTCAGCAGGGTTAGTAACTTTACACATGTGTAGCATAGGTGTCAGCTTATGTCACCATGTTAAAAGGACAGCAATATTGGTAGCATTACAGTGACTGTTATTAGTCCAGGTTCACACTAGCCAAAGCTCTGAAAAGCAATCTATGTGGATCACTTTTTAGGTCCCTTTCACACGAGACATCCAATCAGGTAGACCTGATTGGACTCTCCATTCTCCTCTATGGAGCAGCGGATGTAAACGAGCTGTCCGTTTACACCCACCTACCTCCGAACCTGCAAAAAAAAAAAAAAAAAAAAAATGGAAGGGCATCAATTTCCCTCCCTCCCTCTGGCCAAATTGGTGGGCAGTTGGGTGTAAAGAGACAGCATAAGCAGAGCAGACAGGGACCTGTCAGTTGCCCGTTCTGCTCAGCTCAGCACAGGATCAGCGGACAGATCCCCTGCTGAGAAAAACTGAATCCAGTCCATGTGAAAAGTGCCTTATGGAGGCCATGCATGGTTCAAATTCCAAATGATTTTCATACGAATAAGAATAATTGGCTGATTTTCGCTCTGTTAGTGAGGCAATAACATTGGCCGATTTTCGTGGTTCCTCCCCATTTCGTTTATCGGCATGCTGGAAAATTCGTGAAAAACGATCGATTTTCGAAATCATTGGTGGCACCATTGGATTACAGAACGAACGATGTTTTGATTTTCGGATGAAAAATCGGTCAGAATTTGAACCATGTATGGCCTGCATTAGAGTTCAGCTAAGTAGCTAATGTCAGACATTCAGGAGGCAATCCTGCCACATCCTGAATGCCTGCATGTGTGTTTTTTTTCCTTCTTTGCCAAGCAACAGTTTATACCCACATGGGAAGAAAAATATATTTTAAAAATATTCTTCCCAAATATATTGACAAATATTTGAAATACTACAATTTTGGCAATATTCAATATATTTCAAAATATATTTCAATAAATATTTATATACTGTATGTCTTTAAAAATACAAAATCTAAATTTTTGGAATGCATTTACAAATATATGTTAAAATTACTTTTTTATATGTTAAAAAAATCTGAAGAATATAGTTAAAAATTAATATTTTTAAAACATATATTTTTTAAATATAAAAGTAATTTTAACATATATTTGTACATATATTTGTATATGCATTCCAAAAATGTAGATTTGTATTTTTAAAGATATACAGTATATTTGAAAATGTATTTTAAAAAATATTTTTCATATATTTTGTAATAAAAATGCATTTCAAAATACAGTATATATTATTATTGAAATATATTGAATATTGCCAAAATTGTAGTATTTCAAATATATGTCAGTATATTTGGGAAGAATATTTTTAAAACATATTTCAAATATAATTTTCTTCCATGTGGGTAATGGGGGGTCAAATCAACATGCTGCGTTAAATTTGCCACAGCATGTGAACAGCCCCCTCCAGCTGTATTTTAGACTTTAGGTGGCAAGCCATTCACACAGACAGCCAGGGGGTGGTAAAAACAGGTGGCTGAGCTGTAGTTTTACCACACTCTGGTTGCCTGTGTGAATTAGGCTTTAAAGGATAAGTTCACCTTTCATAATATGTTACGTTACACCCATATTCAGGGTGTAACATGTAACATGTAATGAAATGACTACACCCCCTGATCCCTCGCTTTGACAGCTAATAGGGGATCTTCTCCCTCACTAGCTGTCAAACTTTAAAAAAAAAATGCGTCCAAATGGGGGCTCCGCCCATCCAGCAGCGTCACTAATTCACAGTATTTTGTGAATGGGAAGATTACAAGTCCCGACAGCTTTAGCAGCTGTTGGCTTGTGGTTGTCAATGGTTCTCAATGAACTCTTTGAGCGCTGTGGTAGTACATTGATTCTTTCTGTCAGTAAGTATCTGCAGATATACTGACAGATCTGCAGGAGACCTGCATGGCACCAGCAACCTGCTGATCGCTGGTGCAATGCTTTACAGGCTACTAGAAGAATTAAAATGCAAAAAAATATGCATTTATTATTTTTTGTTGAAAGGTGAACTTATCCTATAAAAGAGGGCAACAATATCTGTCTGCAATCGCTGATCCTTTGAAGACAAATAGATGAGTGTGGATTCTGTTCTTTGTGTACTCCTGAGCTCTGATCTCTGTAGAGTATATATCCCTGAACTCCGCCTCACTTACCCCTTGTTATATCTCATCCTGACTATGGTAACTCCCTCCTCATTGGCCTACCTCACCGCAGGCTATCCCCTCATCAGTCTATCATGAATGCTGCTGCCAGACTCATCCACCTTACTAACCGTTCAGTATCTGCCATCCCTCTCTGACAATCTCTCCACTGGCTTCCCATTGCCCAACGGATAAAATTCAAAACATTAATAATAACATATAAAACCATTTATAACTCTGCCCCAAATTACATCACCGATCTTGTCTGCAAATATCACCCAAATCGTACTCTTCACTCCTCCCACAACCTCCTTCTCTCTAGCTCCCTTGTCTCTTCTCCAGGACTTCTCCAGAGCTTCCCCCATCCTTTGGAACTCTCTACCCCAATTTATCAGACTATCGCCTACTCTGTTCATTTTAGGTGATCTCTGAAAACCTCTCTCTTCAGGGAAGCCTATCCTGCCCTCAGCTAATAATGGAATCTTCTACTCCTCCTACCATTCATCCTCCATAGTTACTACCTTTTGTACCACCAGCCCCTCCCTCTTAGATTGTAAGCTCCAAGGAGCAGGGCCCTCCTAACCCTCTTGTATTGAACTGTATTGTTGCTGTATTGTC